ACTACGAATCGATGAGGACGAACCCGACGCCAAGTTCAGGACAGTGGAAAGTCTGAGGGTCACGCACACCGACCAACCACTGACGGAGACCTCATCGTAAAGGTAGAATATTTTTTTTTCATCACGTTGTGGTCACCGCGGACCGCAAATCCTGTTTGCGTATAGTATGTGCTTGGTGCACCTGCGTTCGCGCCCGCCTATCAGCACTCATTTGTTGGAAACTAACCCTTACACCACGTGGATACATAATGCATGTTGCGTATCTTCATTATTCTTTCGTCAAATAAAAGACGACTAAATGTCTAGAGTGCTACATCTCTTTACCCGTCGATGGAGGAGAATTATCTTGAGGTATTGCGACATTACATCCATTTAGGGTTTTCCGAGCGATTTGAGATTTGCAACGAGTGTTCCGTGTCGCTGGCCACCGTAATTACTCGGGTTGCAATGATCGCCCTGAAATTTTAGAGGAGTTTCTCAATTACTTAAACAGGACGGGAGGTAGATCTTGGACCTCCCCGGAATCGACTATCGTCGCCGTGTCAAACGCGCAAATTTAACTGAAAATTTAAACTCTTAAATTGGACAAATTTTAATTCCGCGCTCCCGCCGACGCGAAACTGTACGCCTTGCACCCATCGATAATCCCAGGTCTGTTCGGATCCCGGCCACCCGCCGATCGAATCCTGGGATGTAACAGAAGTCAAAATTTCTATATCCTCATTGGTGAAATTTCAATCTTTACTCTTTAATCTCAATCTTCAATGCATAGTCTGATTCCGGCCTACAAAAGCTGCTTTCTCTGCTAAACGCAGCCAATGCTTCAAAATTTTTGATCAATCAGAAGAAAGCATTTTACTAAGTGATCAATAAAAAAATGCTTTAAGCATTCATAGCATCAAGTGGGACTCGTAGTCTTTAATCACAGTTATATATGGCAGTCGTGTTTTATGGATTAAAATGCCTTTTTATACTGATGCTTGACGCTCATTTTTAGCGTCAAAATATAAGTCACGTGATCAAAATTGACGTTTAATATTCGTCAATTTTTATCATGTAACTTATTTTTATTCCGAAAATAAGCGTCGAGCGTCAGCATGAAAAAGCACCTTTAAAGGCCGTAGCAGACTTTTGCATAACCCCAGATCTACAATAGAGTTCTAACTCTTAAGCCATAAGAAATGGATGAATCATAGTCGATTATTCTTCTCAAATTCGACTATATCAATTTCTTACAACTTAAGGCTTACAACTTAACACCTATTGCAGATCTGGGATTACGCATAAAAGTGCTTTTTCATGCTAACGTCCATTTTCAACATCAAAACAGCATTAACTGATCCAAATTAATACTTGA